CCAAGTTTCCAGAGCCAAAAATAAATCATAAGTAAAAAATTATTATGGGCAAAAATGTAAACAGAACATAAATTGAGAGTTATTTAAAAAACAGTTAACTAGCAGCTGCCCTGAAATTTGCAATTACTTGGTTGCAAAACAATGCTACTACAATTTTAAAAAGCCCATGGGTGGAGGGGGGACAGAGGACCAAAGAAAAGTAGCAATTTTAAAAAATCTACCATTTTATATTATCTATGAAGTACACTAGCAAATGTGTTAAGGCATCTTGCTATCAATCCAAATCTTGCTCTGGACTGCTGTCAAAGACTATCTTCAAGCAACCCAGTGCAAATAACTCCCAAAGCCAGACCGGCCAGATGTGAAGCTATTCACATCACACCACTGTGTACTGGTAGCTACAGAATCAGGCCTGTCTTAACCATGTTAGCCTTAGTGGGCCTTCTAAGTTGAGCTGAGTTGACTTCTACTGATGGTCCATCTTAACTGCAGACACTGAACAGAAAAAGATGGTCAGTACCAACTCAAGGGAGAACCCAAAGCCCAACCGGTATAATGACAAAAAAGCTGTAATACAAATTTCATTGTAATATAGGATCATATGAAAGTAGGGTGGAAAGAGACTACATGATGTCAGCCTCCTGCTCAAGCTTGGATCATCCCCAACCAAACCATCCCAACTGTGTCCTGTCTAACCTGCACTCAAGAATTTCCAGGGATGGAGAGTTCACAACCTCTCTAGGTAGCCTGTTCCAATGCCCAACCACCTTCGTAGTCAGAAAGTTCATCCTCGTCTCCAACCTAAACTTCTGCTGTAGTTTGAGGCCATGGCTCCAAGCCTTTCCCCTCCAGCCACAGAGAATAGTCTATCTCTATCCTCTCTATGTACTTGCCCTTCAAGTATTTGAAGATGTTTATCAAATCCACCCCACCCCCAGTCTTCTCTTTTTTAGACTAAATAACTATACTTCTTTCAACCTTTCCTCATAAGTCAGGCTTCCCATGTCTCTAATAATTTTTATTGTTCACCACTGGACATTTTCCAGTCAGTCCACATCTTTCTCATATATTAGGAGGAAATATTTGGAATAGGAATATATTGAGGGAGGGGGGAAGGACTTCTAATGGAAGAAAGAAGTCCATTCCTAGTGGAAAGTGATGAGATTGCAAGCCTACTAGTGCAGTAGTATGTCTGAATGTTTGTAAGGGCACTCATTTTCATACTGCAGTACATTTAGATTAGAACATTAACATGATCTTGAATTTATACAGTGCTTATTCAATGCATTAAAGTCTTCTCACTAGATCTCCAATGGTTATTAATGGGAAATCACTGAATGCAGCTGTTTCTAGTGGGTTCTTACTCTAATGCTATTTTTTCAATGATCTAGGATCAAATATAAACTCCCTCTGCTGACAAAGTTCTCAGAGAACAGAAACCGGTGGGGTTCGGTGTTAAAATGCAATGTGGACAGGTCAGAGATGCAGAGTGACTTGGACCGCTCGGTAAGCAGGGTGTAATGAAAACCACATATTTGAATGCAGCTGAAGGCAAAGTTATCCCTCTAGGGAACAAAGAAAATAGCTCCTGCTTCCCAGACAGGAGACTGCAGCTTGGAAAACAATGACTCTGGAAAGCATGTGGGCCTCCTGGTGAATAATGGACTGAACGTGATCTCCCAGCACAATATTGTGGCTAAGAGGTCAAATGCTGTTCCTGGAAGTATAACCAGGAGGGGGGCTGAGAAGCTACAGTGAGGCAGGACAGCATTTTTGGTGGCCAAACTTCCTAAAAGGATGTTAACAAACAGGGAAGGGCTCTGAAGAGCTATAAGAATGACTTGAGGTCTGGAGAATTTGCTTCCCAGAGACAGACTCAAGTTGAGGTTTAGCCTGAGCGAGTCAGCTGCCAAAATCCCATGGAAATTCCCTGGGAATTTGAGTGCTTTTTTTTTTGAGAAGGAAGGAGGAGGTGGGGAAATCATTCTCAGTCAGTTTAAAGGGAAGTCAAGAGTGGATTTGATATCCATCAATAAGTACCTACCTGAAAGAAGAGATTTCTGACAGCAGCAACTGTGAGGGATGGGAACTGCTCTGTAACAGTCTATGAATACTACATGATGACCTGACTATTGCTCTATGAATAGCACTGGTTTCATTTATTAATGGATAGGGGGAGCTGGAAGGGAAGAATAGCTTAGGCCTCTTTGCAAAACACAAGGCACAAAATGCTGTGACTGGAAAAAGCCAGAGACCCAGAAAAATCAAGAGTGATTTAAAATGGGATGGGAAGAAATGTAGGGGTAAAAGCAATAGAGATGATTTGGCAAATAGAGGCAACAGCCAGGTATCTCTTCAGAGAAGCAACGCAACACTCTCCCTTGCAAGGTAAAGATGCCCGGCTGCACTCTGGGACTTCACCAACTGCTGGCAGCAAACCCTAAGCTTGGTGCTCAAAATGGGGAGGAAGCAACATGTGAAAGGGACATAGATACCAGGAAGGAAGAAAAATGTGGCAATGTCAGATGGATAAAAGGAGCGGGCACCTAGGATAGTATATGGGAGGATGCTTTACCTCCCATTCTAAACCGGCAGCCAATTTCCAGATCAGCTTTCCCAAGTAAAAGCTGTGCTCCTTTTCTCTCTCAAACATATTTGCCTTGTTGTAGACACCATTTCCATGTTTGCAAGAGGAGAAATATTGCTGGGTAAGGGCCCCCCAAGGAAAAGTAGTTTTCCAGGTGGGGACTCAGGCAGATGAGCTCGGTTCATTTCAAGAGGAATCCTTCAAATATTTGAACTCAGCACTTTTGCTGCTGGCACTACCTCGCAGAAGGTCAACACAATGTCCTTACATCAGGATAAGGTGCCTCTTCCTAAGAATTATTCTCTAGCTTACCTACAGGTGATGGGGCGGCCTGTGCCAGTTGAGCAGTCTCTGCCAGCCTTGGACTGAATAAGATTCTGGACGCCTGAGGAGCAGTCAGGACGTCTCCGTGTGTACGCTGCTTGTTTTGTCTTGTTATTAACACAGGGCGTTGCTGTGAGTGGGGACAGGCTCTTCCACCTCTGCCCCAAGACAAGAATGCCTCCACACAGGGACGGAGCTGCGGGAAGCCCAGCACCTGTAGTGTTGAGGAGTGACAGCTGCATGCCCCTGGCAGATGGCAGATCTCTCAGATGGATGCGCCCACTTCAGTTCATTCTCTTTTCCTGTCCAGTTGTGCCACATTCACAGAGACAAAATAGCAGTCACAGTCTAATAGGAAAGGGCAAGGAGGGGGAGGAAATCTTTTTCTTAGCAGACTAGATACATTCCAAGGAGCAGAGCAGGAACCTCAGAGGGAAAAAATGCAGGCACCAACAGGCATGACAGGCCGGGGAAGGAGAAAGTAGTGTTGCTTTTGTATTAACAAGAGAGGTGGTGTTGAAAGAACTGGAGCTGACCCTAAGCCACTAGGCTCAACATGGGCTGGGACCTCCATTCCCTTCTTCCTCTGCCATCTTCCAGCCCCCTCCAGCCTACCCACATAAGAAGCAGTGTTTGGCTCCTGAGCTAGTAGCCCAAAGCCTCTCCCCACCCCCAACAGTAAGCACCAGGTTCTTCCATGGGGAAGGAAGCAGCTAGTCCTTCCATGGCTGCTTATGGAAAATTGCTAGTCTGAGCTTAAAGGAATGGCCCTGAGCAGAAATAAGCCGTATTCAGATTGGGCAGGGTCCCAGACCCATGCTGTTCCCATCCAAAACTCCCATGCTGCAGGCCAGAGGCAGCCTTCCTAGGACTCCAAAATATGAATCTCTGGTGGTGGAAGGAGGAGACACTGCAGAGGTCCCATGCAATCCAGGTTTCTTTTCAACCCCTTGCTCTCCTGTGCAGTGTCCTGTCTAGTTCTTAAGTTGCTCAGGCAAGTGGGTGAGAAAGTGCTCCTGGCCTCCCAGCCATCTGAGGTTCAAATGCCTGGACCCACATATAGCCTGGAAAGCCTGCAAGGTCACCAAAGGAGGGAGGGATCAAAAGGGAGGTTGATATTTCTGTTCTAACATCTCCTTGCAGTCTTAAAAAGAGCAAGCAGCTTCCTGCCTGCTACAAACCAAGCCAAGTACACACCTCAGGGGGAGGTGATGGATCACCTAGGGCAGTGGGGGCCAACCCTTTTGGTATATTAAGGCCTGTGCCCTCCTTGAGTGCCATTTTGATCCTCTTCCCCTGCCCAATTTGCTGCTCTGATGTCTGCTTCCTGTCCTGTGGTCCCTGCCCTATCTGCTGCTTTGCTTATTGCTCCCTGCCCTATCTGGTAGAAACCATCCCCCTTCCTGATTTTCCACATGCCACACACAAAGTCCCCATGCCACTTATGGCACTTGTGTCACAGGTTGGTCACCCCTGACCGAGGTCACGAACATCACAGAGCCAAATCCTAGTGGTCCCTACGTGGAATTTAGACCTCCGAATTGAATGGCAGAGCTGCCATCAATTCCAATAGGCCAGGAATTTGTCCTTTGTCCTCCGTGCTCAGACACTTAGATAATAGGGCTGGATGTATACGAGGAAGACCTCAGATCAGGGGGCAAGTTCTTTACTGGGGAAGGCCTTGCCTGAGAAGACTACAAATCCCAGCGTTCAGTTTTGTGGGGATATTGCATGCTGGGATTTGCAGTCTTTATAAAATGCCTAAAATTGTCCATGTTAAAGATTAGCTTGGCTGCAATCTGCTCCATTTTATGTTAATACAAAGAGCTTCTTGGGTTCCCAGCCTGCAGCTAACTCAGCCCTCAGCAGGGGGGGCCCCATTTGGCAGGATTCGCCATCATGCAGAAAGAGAGAAATGGCACAACCCTCTTTGAGCAACAAACACTCAAGCAATTACTCTTGTCTTCCCAAGAGGAGAGCCATCCAAAGGCAAAAGTCAACTCAGCCCCACAGCCAAATCCAGGTCCAGAGGCCATAAGCCCTTTCCTTCAATGAGGAGCCATGTCTGATAAGAGATGATCACAAAGTACTGTCACTAGAGACCTCTTAAAGACCACTTCCAGGTGTCCGCAGCGCTGTTTCCCATCCATGTTAGGCCTGCACCATGCATGGCTCTGACACTGTTGGTACTGACCCCACACATCTGGCCAGTAAGCTTCCTGTGCCAGCCCCACAATGAAAATGCCCACTTCAGGTTTGGCCTCTAATGACAGTCCCCTGGGAACTGGGCCACCCTCCCCAGCTTGGAGTCCACAGGTATTTAAGGCTAGACCTGCCAGCAGAAATGCACACTGCAGCCAAGAGTAGAAACACTAACAAAAAAAATGCTGGCTTGTCACGAGGGTCTAAGGAAAAAAAAAAAGCAAGTGGGGAGGAGAGAGAGGGAGAGCGTGAGGGAGGGGACAACATTTCATAATCATGAACAGACCCCACTCGCCAGGCGCCCTGATATTGTTGTCGTTACAGCTGCTTTTATAACCCACACCAGCACACCAGCCGTGGAAAGAAGAGAACTGTCTTTGTGAGACTTGCCCCGGTTCCGAAATCCCCGGTGGACCAAGTTCCCCCATCCTCCATCCATCATCAAGATCTGCAATCAGCCAGTCTTGCCTGCCATGCAAACAACTCTTTTACAAAAATCTTAACTTATTTTCCAGCCACTGTGGAGTTCAGTATCATGTCTTCAGTTTACCTACGTACCGTTACTTTTTGCCTTACATTAAAATATTTCGGTCCCAATAAGGATCTGCCTGCAAAAAGCATAATAAAGTTTCCCGCTTTCCCCTCCCGCCCTGCAGTCTGACATCCAACGAGGCAAAGGAAGGCTTCGGAAGTGTACGTTTTCAAAAGTAACACATAAAAAGAAGTTGCTTACCTGAGTGATGAACCAGAGGGGGGAGAGGAAAGACCAGAGATGTAATTCACTGTGCAAAAGGAAACTAAATAAACTGCTTTCCCCTTCCCTTGATGAAGAAGCCGGGCTGAGAGGAAACTTCTACAGGCTGATGCAAGATGCCTTTGCGAGCGATTTAGCATTCTGAGGATTCCTGGGATATAGCCAGAAATCCCACAATCCAACATATTGCACATTTGGTTTCAATTAGGGAGTGGAGGGACGGGGGGAGAAGGGAGGGGGGAAGAAGTCAGTTACCAATCAAAGCTGTTTTCTCTTTGGAGGCTATTTTCCTTGACCCAGGGGAATGCGCACAAAGTTATAATTTACAGCAAAACCCATTCATAGCAAGGGCAAAAAAATTCTATAACCAGTGAGTGATCTTAAAGATGTAGGCAGATTTTTCCCCCAGAGGGATAGATGCATTTTATTTATTTATTTTACTTCACAATGAGAGGTTGTTATCCAAATAGTTCAGTAATGTCCAGGTAGTTAATGAAGAAGATGGGGGGGGACACAAAACGGGGACCAGTTGGATGGGGATGCCTTACGAGTATCCTACAGATGCTGACTTTCTGGGGTTAGGCACATCTTGCACGCGCAGTTTTACAAAGGAGAAGGAGGGAGAGAAGAAAGGAAGGAGGAAACTGGGAAACATCTGGTTTGGGATGGGCCCTTGCTTCAGCAGAAGGAAGTCACATGGATAAGGCATCGCAATGTTTACCCGATAGCATTTATGCAATGTTTTGAAGGCACGGGATGGAGGAAAAGCTAAAGGGGGTCACCAAGTGTGCACAGGGCATTTCAGAACAGATACAAGAATGAACAGTGGGCCTTTCTCAGAGAGCCCTCTGAGGCTCAGCCTTAGCTACCCCGGGAAGGAGCAGGGACAAGTGGGGTGGCTTCTGTACATCACCTAGGAGCGGGCACTTAGGAAGAGGACGGGAAGTTCTTAGGGTATCTCTCCAAACTTCCAGGAGACAGTATGAGGAAAAGAGGTGACAGCCTACTGATTTTTCATCCCAGAGACAGCAGCTCAACAGCAGGCATAAGACATACACTTTCCCCAAAGCCTAGAGCTCAGATTTTGACAGACATCTCCTCTCTCTAGTCCCTTCCCTCAGAGGGTGCCCTCCCTGGTCTCCTCCATCGGTGTTGGTGCATGGGAAACACTGGGCCACAGCTGGGCTTCCTGGATTGGTGCTCACAGTGGCTGCTGTGGCTCTTAGGCCAGCAGAGGACAAAACAGGAGCAGCTTGACCCGCGAAAGCCCTCACCAGGAGACACTAAAGCAGGAAGGAATTGCACGGAGCCAATGCTGGTTTGTCTCATGCAGTGCCAATGTAGAGAAGGCAAGAGACCCCAGCTGCAGAAAAATGGGGGTTGTACAAAGGCTACACAGGTTGACCACAAGAGACTTTTACTATTACATACTCTATGCTCCAAAAGGGGAGAGCAAAGAATTGTACCCAATGATCCCTGCAACCAGCCCCAGACTCAAACTGTGCAGAATCTTTCATTAAAAATATATATATATTTTAATAAATATGGCCATTTTCATGTAATAATGTGTCAATGTTGACAAATTCACACAGAAAACTTAGGAAACTGCAATACAAAATTGCAAACTCTTCAAACGGTAATGTAAAATTTTGTCTGCATGTAATTTTTTTTTGCAGTGACATCATGACATACCAATAGTGTAAATTAGGCATGACTTTTACTACTGACAGATCATAAATGACATGATACAATATTTAATGTTATGCTTAAAATAAATGGAGGGCAATGTCAAGCTGGCACCTGGGAACACATTGTTTCATTACAACTAGCAGGAGACACATTAGTCTAGAAAAGATAAGACCTTTAAAATCCATGCTAAGTAACTGCTGCACTTAATGATTTTAAGCACAAATTAAATACTTCCAGTATTATGATATATCACTAGCAGTACTGGCATGCACTACCAATAATAGCACATCAGACTAAATACAGAAATGGTTGCTACAAAGAAGATGGCGATCGGTGGTGGGTACATGACTGCCTGATGGTCCTGAGTTGTGAACTCTCCATCCTTAGAAGTGTTTAAGTGCAGGTTAGACAAATATTTGTCTGGGATGGTTTATACAAGGATGATCCTGCCTTGAGTACTGGGTTGGTTAAATGACCTCATAAGGTCCCTTCTAGCCCTATTTTCCTTTGATTCTATGTTCATAATCTAAAACTGAAAAAAATAATAAAAATACAAGATGAAGTTCTGAAATCCCAAATGGATGTTTTGAAACCATTTAACACAGGTTATCCAGAACCAGTTTCAGAGGAAATTTAAAAGAAATATTAGAACAGAAGCAAAAATTCAAGTGTCAAAGAAAAAAAAAAAACCCTTCAATTTTCATTTCATGGTGAATTTTTATCTTTTACCTATAACTTGACAGAGAGAAAGAGAGAGAGAGAAATATTTAAATCTGTATTTATTTAAATATGCCAAATCAGGAAGGAAGAGAGACATCCCTAGGAACACTGTTCCAGTGCTTATTCACATTTATCATTCAAAATGTGCCCCTTGCTAATAATTTGACTTCACTCAACTTCAACTTTTAGGCATTTTAAATTGTTATGCCTCTGTCTGCTAGACTGAAGAGCCCTCTGCTCTCAGAAATCTTTTCATATAGTGGTTATAGACTGTGACCAAGTGACCTCTTATCGTATGTGAAGCAGTAATTGGATAATAAGCCTTAAACACCCTAGTAAATTACCTTTCACATGCCTGCCACTCAAACACTGAGCTCAGACAGGAGACTTTGAAGAGTCCTGCTCCACCAATCTTCTCATCCTACAGCTGTGTGCTTCTGGTTGGGTCATTTTTGTGGTTGGAATCCAGGAAACTCTGGATCTAAAAACCATGAATTGCTACAGAGAGAAGTAAAAACACTGTCTGCTCTCTTGGAGATGAGAGCAAACTGAATCTGTCTAGAGATGAGTCAATTCTGTCCACTAGAGGGCAACAAAAAGCCAAGACTGTTTACGTCAAGGCAAGACTTCTCAAGAAGTGTTGGTATATTGCTACCACAATAGTTGGTAGCATTAACAAAAAGGAACTAGACCTATTTCTAGTAAAACTCTAGAAAGGAGTTTTACTAGAAACTCTTCTGCAAGGAAGAACTTTGAGCAGGAAGATTTACAAACGATGTGGCAACTTTAAAAAAGAACGTTACAGATAGATATGATCATACAATGTCTCATAGTAATTAGCACTGCAGCAAACTGAGGAAAAAATACAGATTAGTTTGCAATATGAACAACCAGTGATAGAAATGTCTACACTTGCATCATGTCAGTAATTGAATAAATTATTCCAGATCATTGGCTTCAAGATTCAGGATAGGAAATTTAGGTTGGAGATTAGGAGGAACTTTCTGACCACGAAGGTGGTCAAGCATTGGGACAGGCAAACTACAGACCTTGTAGACTGTCCATCACTGGAAGTTTTCAAGAGCAGGTTAGACAAACACTTGGCTGGGATGGGTTAATCAGGGATGATCCTGCCTTGTGCAAGGGGCTGGATTAGATGACCTTGTGAGCTCCCTTCCAGCAGTACTTTCCTATGATCCTATGATCACTGGGCTGAAAGAAACAATGCATAATCTACTATATTTTAATAGACAAATGGGAGCTAAGACAATATTCGGGCCAATGTTTAGCAATATTTAATAAAAAGAAACTAGCCCCAAACGAAACTAGATGATGCGTTGGTTTGGTCAAAGACTTTGTGAACATTCTACTACAAAGTTAGCAGCCAACTTGCTTTAGGGGTGGTAAATTTAACAAGCAATATTAGTAGAGGTTTGCTAAAGAAGCCATAACACATTGGAGAACAAAACAGAAACTCTGAAGTGACAGACTAACTCAAAAACATGCTGCTCATGTGAAGAGGCAGGTAGTAAGAACTCTTATACAAGTCCTACAGAAATTGAATCAGGTTTTGTAACAGCTACCATAAAACCCAAGATACTTAAATAGAAAATAGTTCCCTTCCATGACTATAGGGCCACATACTGCTCCATCTATCTCACCTGTCATGCTTGGATGTTTGTTTCTTGGAAGCAGTCTTCAGTTCATAGTAGATTTCTGGCTGTGGCTGGTCTGTCACTCTCTATCATCAGTCCATGAACACTTGCATTTGCTCTGCAACCTCCATCTCTTGGCTATTCCTGCACAAGTTAGCCTAGTCTCCCTAGGAGTCGCCTCACACCTGCAGGATACCAGTCTGCACTCTTCCTCCAGTTAACAATTGGCTGGATCTGCTTCAGGCTTACAGCCCATTCAGCATTCATTAGTCTTCTTCCTCAGACCTCCTGTAATACATCAGTGAACTGCTGTCTTTTTTCCTAGTATTTAAGAATGGGAGAAGCCATGGGGGAGCCCCAAGCCGATGCAAGTCCATCAGGCTAGCTGTGAAGACCAAGACCTTGGCTAGCTGTGCAGTTATAGCATGCAGGGTATAGTTGACTATAGCACGGCCCTAGTAATTCCCTGGGCCCCTTCCATACCTATTCTCACAGCTTGCATCTCTCTTTCAGTCTCAGTGCCACACCAAGTCACTTCTCTGGATTTCTCCTTTCCATCTTTAGCCTCCCAGAATTCATGGAGTCTCTGCCATGTCTTCCTTGAAGGACTCAGAGCTCAGGGTTACTCCCCACCTGCCTGCTGGAGGGTTCTTCACACCTACTCCTGAAGCATCTAGTACAGGCCACTCTCACCAGCAGGTACCTGCTAGATGGACCTTGTGGCAGGCCAGTAGGGGGTGCTCCTGCGTTGAGCCGCCCACCTCCCTGCCCCCGACCACCTTCCAGGCTCCGAATGCCTCCCTAGGGGCGCCTTATGTCTGGCCAACCCCCTTCCTGGAGCACACTCGCTAGCCTGGGGGTAACATAGCTGCCACCACCCCGAGAATGGACTCACTCTCGGCCCTGTGTCCTCGGGGAAACACAGGCCTAAAGTCCTACGGGTACTCAACCCAGTACAAGCACTTGGGGCACTTCCCCAAGTCAGGGGGCAAAAGGTAAAGTCTCCCTTAGTCCGCAGACCTAAGGGGTCTCTTAGGCATAATTTAGACCCACCCCTCAATAAGTCTCCCACACCGGTCACAAAGGAGGACT